GGGAGACGTTGCCAGATCCCTGGCTAAGTATGCCTATGAAAGAAAGGTCAGTCCCAATATTGCCAAATCCATTCTCAAATATGTTTTCTACAAGATGTTTGAGCAGTACAGGGGCTATCTGGGGGATGAACAAAACAGTGAGGCTGGGCTCGAGATGCCAAACCTTGGAGATACTCCAGGCACAAAAACAGTAGGCAAACCCATGAGATAGTATGGCCGCGTCAAATAAGAATCAAACTAGCTGTGTAGCACTTAAAAGTCAAATTATAGGTTCTATTTTGAATACCATCTTCCGTTTAAAGTTTACAACTCCTACAAACAAGTTATGTGCCCCAGCTTTGTCAATTTCCATCAGATCCATTGTTCAATATCGGGTTACTTGCTCCGTGGACTCAGATGGCAGTCGATACGAAGGTCACAGTGTAAATAACTTCTTTGAAGAAATGGGCATTTCTCATTGGAATGAGAGGCGAGTGGACAACTCCAACTTCCATTCATTCACATACTCCGATGTTTTCATCACAATGATGAACTGGTACACGTGTATGGGTACGCGGGTTTTGTCCCACGTCAAAGACATGCAAGCCTGTGTTAAATTGATGCGGAGTTGCGTCAGTTTGACGCAGAGTTGCGTCAGATTGACGCAGAGATGCGCCAGTTTGACGCCGATTACGCGTCAATTGACGCAACTCCGCATCAAATTGACGCAGCTCGCGTCAATCCCGCGTCGAAAGAAACGTCCCGCGTCAAAGTCGCAGAGCATTTTAACGGACATGTTCAAATTATTTAGCTTTTTAAAAAATCTCAAAACAATCTAAACGGACAGATTTCGGGCGTGCGTTTGACGTTGTGGTGCGTCCCAGTAGAAATTGAATCACAATGGCGGTACCATAGTTTGATGCTTGGGCTATGAACAAGTATTTTCAAGAACACATAATAATGATAGCTACCATTTAGAGAAACTCTTATTGTACATAAAGTTGACTTGAAAGGTCCAAGCATCCCAAATTTCCCATAGTACATCATTTTCCCATATTTGGAATGCTTCAGGAACCATGACATCTTGCAGCGTTGAACTGCACGTTCGTTTCCAGATCATATCACAGCAACACAAGCCGAGTACAACGTAGCACTTCCAGTGAATTGGCCCTCGCCTTTTTTGAGTATTTTGGTTGCATACAAGTTTGACCCTCCATGCTTGCATCAAGTGTTGGTGAATGATTTGTCAGACGATGCATCTGCCTCTGAAAACTTCCTCTGCCAGTATCATTTGCGAATCTGTGATTCTTCCAGTCATGAGAGGCATTCCACTGACTCCTGCCTTGGCACATGCGATGCCATAGTAGTCACTGAAAAGTGCTCGATCGAACTCTGCATTTGAGGGACATGGCAACGGAATATCCGTTGCATCATGCATCACAATTCTCTCGCCGCTTCTCCGATCAAAGTAGAAATCCCATTTCTTGTCCCGCAACTTTGCATCTTCTTCATAGGTAGCATACATCGGCCACCGATTACGTGTTCCAAGTTCAAGTGATAGTTTCATCTTCAGTATTCTTCGAAGTGGATTCCGGGAGCTTCTATACATTTTAGAAAAATCTTGCCATCTAATAGCAGTACGCCCATACTTGAACTCAAAATAGAACATCCACTCCTCAAGCCAAGTAAGTTTCGATGTTGTCTCGAAAAGATGTTTCAAATTACCATTACACACCACTGTAGCATATGATAGTAGCTTTTGTAAATTGTCAAATCCTGTGCGGCGCTTCACTTCACATGGAGTCAAATCATTTGTTTTCATAGATGGACAGCACTCCTCTCATTTTTTCCTTTTACTCCAAATGTTATCAGCCTCTGCCAACTGCTTTCTCTTCCTTGTTGTTTCAAAGCTAGTTGCCCCAAAGTGTACATCAAGACCAGCAGCTTCAACCAAATGCGGGTTAATGTCATCCCACGACTGATTTCCCAACCCAACATCCTCCACTTCATGGGCCTGTTGGATAGCTAATCCAAATTTATTGTATGCTTTTGTTGCCTTGATGTGGCGAAGCAGTCCCCTGTCGGTACTCACCCCTTTGCTGGCTGTTTTTGGTGGCGTTTGAATTCACCTTCTGTCAAATGTCTTCCACCTTGTCCTTGTATTCTTGGCTCCTTTCATGTAATGGTATGCTATTTGACACACGCTGGTCCGGTAGCTCATAGCTAGCTCCGAAAGAGCAGGAACATCCAAAAGCGCATCAAGGCAAAACTTGTACTGCCAAATAGTCGGGATTCTTGTCTGTCGCTTCACCAGTAGGTTGCTTTGGAATTGCCATCATGTTATCTTTTGTCAGAATTTTCAGTGCCTTCTTCTCTGGACTCTCGAATCTAGGCACCTTTTCTCGCAATAGTCCCAAGTCTTGTGGTTTGGGCTCTACTCTAGCCTTTTTTGCTGCATCTGTGGCAAATTCAAATGGGGAAAGCCATTCCAAAAAAGTCTTTGAAGTGCCCAGCGGTGTGACCGTATCTATTGCAGAAAAATTACCCTTTCCAATTCCACTCTGAACCTTTCTCGTTCTCCATCTTCTATGTCCAATCGAGAGAAACAATCTTCATTGCTCACCAATCGTATTTGCAGTTCATATAGCAAGTGTTATGCATCAGACTATCTGACAGGCAAATGATGTCCTCTCGCGTGAGCCCGGATGGAACATGCATGTACTTCTTGGGCTTTGACTTCAATGAAGCATCCACTAGGTGTTTCAGCAACTCTTCCTTTGGAGCATCTGGATCTGTCCTAAAATCAATTTTCGATCGGATTATAACTGCTTTTGATGCTCCAAAGCCATCAATACCTCCAGGCAATGCATCGCAACCAAGGGCTAGCGCAAAAATGGCACGAACACGAAGTCGATCCAAGCCATCAAAGATAGGATACGGCGGATCCCTTGGGAAGATGGACCCTTGGACTTTTGGTTGTAGAATCTGCTTTACATATTCTACAACCTTCTTCTGTCCAGTGCAGACCTCAAAACTCTCCAACGAAGTGTTGCGATTGCCCAATTTTGGATTCCGCATCATGATGTCAGCACATCTGTCAGGTCCACCATGCCCATGTACATCGCAAAATCAGAGTCCCCCGACAAGATTTCATCAGCATCGCCATCAATCGCAACACTCTCATCACACCCAGCAATAAATGCCAGGAACTAATAAGAGTGGTTACATTAGGTGACTCTCTGGTCAGTGACTGTGCTACGGACAGACGCCTCTATCGTGGCCTCCTCTTCGGCTGTTGACTGTCAGACGAACGCCTCCGACCTCCCTCCTCTCATGCCTGATGGCACAAGAACAGATCAGATACGATATCTAGGAGTATAGGATATGGTTAACTAATGTAATGATTGAAATGGCTGCTGTTTGGATTTCCTGGCTAAATAGTGGAGGCGAAACGCAATCAAAGCATATTTTTATCGAGGATTGCGTGGAATGCGTTGCCTCCCAATGATTTTGTACAAATGTCTGCCCAATTTTCGTGGGTATTGCACCAAATGAGGCAAACGACTCTGCCTGCCACTGCCTCTCTGACCATGTGGTAAGAAATCGCAATGTGCTTCTTCTTCAATTCCGAATTCACTAAGCTGGCTGTTTTGATGACAGACATATTGTCACCGAACATGTGGGTTGGTTTGGTGACTGGAACACCCAATGAACGTAGCATGTAGCGAATCGATATGGCCTCCTCTACGCCAGTGCGCATAGCCATGAACTCAGCGGAATATGTGCTGGTGGCGATGAAGCCCTGACGTTCTGCGGACCATAATACCAGTGTAGATCCGATGTAAACCAATATGCCAGAGATTGAATGGCGAGTTCTTTTGTTGTGGCCATGATTAGCGTCAAATAGTATGGATGTCTCTAATTCAGTACCAAATGCTGCTGGCTCTTGGGGATCACGTTCCTCTCCCGCATCAGGATATTCATTCAAAAAATCAGGATCAAAAGATGCATCTGGATCTTCAGGATTGAACATCGCGGGGTCAATTTTCATAGGTTTTGAATCGATGATGAGCTGCTTTGTTTTGTACTTTTTGAGGTATCCAAATTTTGCTTCTTGAGAATCAGCATCAGGTATGTAGTTGGAGGCATGAAAGGTAAAACAATTCAGTGCAACAAGTTGTGCAATCTCTTTCTTCATTGCTTCTTGCCACTTGTTGTTCCCATTTTCTTGATCAAATTCCAGTGCTTGACGCACACTCATTGGAACCTTCACACCAAACTTGATAGTTTCTTGATGGCAATTGCGTCCGGGTTTCTTCGCTCATCTTGCTGTCCTAGGATGGTTCCGAGGAAGTATCTTGGTGTAGTGAAGTGTGTAAGAGGGGTCTTCATCTGGAACAATGAATACAGCGCTCTCACGCATCGGTTTCTGGAATTGACGCAGAACACGGTTTGATTTCTTTAAAAACGCTAGGGACCAACGTTGATTGACTCCAAGCAGCAACAGATCAACTCCTGGCTGAAGGAAGAACGAGTGGGAATTGCGTTGTTGGCAAAGGCCAAGACGTTTTGGCCTTCTATCAATGAAGGTCACGGTTGGAGTGACAGACTCCGCCAAGCTACGATGAAGTCCAAGCAAAAAGGGTTTTACTCGTCGGTAGCTTACAAACCCCTTCCTTGGTGCGCAAATACAACTGCTTACACAGACAAATGTATACTGTGAGGCGCCAGGCGGAAGAGAGGTGCCGGGCCTTAGGTCCAGGTAAAGTTCCTTGGTCACCAAAAATGCAGGGATTCTGGGATTGTATGAGCCTGTGGAAGCTTCTGTTGAAAGGCAAGAAGGGTTGCCATGTGAGTTCACGCAAAGTTCGCACCGCCTATCTAAAATGCGCACCATCCAGCTGATGAATTCCAAGGCCCAGGCAAACAATAAGAAGGCGGGCCGTGTAGCCATGCAATTTGCCGAAGCGCACTCCTTGATACCCGACGGGCAATGCGGCTCACGCAAACGTCATCAAGCAATTGACCTGGCCTTGTCTAAACAATTAGTGTAAGATCTACTGATCCTTCAACGCCGTGCAGCGGGGTGGATCTCAAATGATGCCAAGTCCTGCTTTGACCGTGTTGTCCACTGGGTGGCCATCGTCACAATGTTGCGGTTTGGTTTGACATGGCGTGTCCTATCATCGATGTTCAACATGCTCTCCTCCGCTACCCACCGTGTTCGCACAGGTTTTGGTGACTCCAAGAGAAGCTTTCGCCCTCTGTCAGCAGTGCCATTCCAAGGTTGTGGGCAAGGGAATGGTGCCGGACCCCCCATTTGGATCTCGGTGAGCTCAGTGTTAATCACAATGATGGAAGCAATGGGCTATGGATTTGAGTGTCTTTTGGCGTTAGAGTCCTCACAACTAGTGAAAGCCCAATGTTTCTGTTTTGTTGACTATACGGACGTGATTGAAGCAGGTGACACAGTCCATCACTCTGGGGAGGATATTTGCGCCTCAGTCCAGGCTGCTGCCACCTTGTGGTTGGGGGGAATTTGGGCAACAGGTGGTGCAATCAATCCGGAGAAGTCCTTCTGGTGGCTTATTGACTTTGAATGGGATGCTCGCAATGGTCAGTGGAGATTCCGTAGGAAATGCTCCGCGGCACCGGAATTTGACCTTAAGATACTCCGTCGCCTTGAACCAGATGATTCCGAACGTACTCTGGGGGTGATGTTGTCGCCACTGGAAATCACAATGCACAGGAGGCACAGTTGGTCTCTAAAGCTAAAGAGTGGGCCAAACAGCTTTGGCCTCACCTGCTACACAAGTACGACGTGTTACCCTTAATCCGGACCACAATCCTGAAGAAGCCTTAATATCCTATGGCACTCACTACCCTCAACACTCAACAATGGCAGGACATTATGTCACCGGTTCTCCAGGTGTGCTTACCTAAGTCAGGTGTTTGCCGCAACTTCCCCGTTGGTGGTCTTTGCCCCAGTGGATTACCAAGGCCTTGGTGTCCCTCACCCCTTTGGCAAGCAAGTGTACAAACACTTGGAGATGATCCTTCGCCATATGTTGGGGGATACAAAGACTGGAGCCTACATGGATGCCAATCTCCAGGCTCACCAACTGGAAATCGGTACCTCCTTTGGTCTTCTACAGCAAGATTACCAGAATACATCCATTCTTGCTTCTGATATCTGGCTTAAAAGGGTATGGAAGGAGCTTGAATCTCTGGATATGTATGTGGCCTTTGACTCTCCGGCCCTATCTTTAAGGTGTCATCATGACGCCCTCCTGATTGACTTGTTCATTGATCTTGAGGTTGATCAGGACGACCTTCTCTGGCTTAACTGGTGCCGGATGTTCCTGCAAGTAGCCACAGTATCAGATATCACTACGGCTGATGGCCGCTATATCCGGCAATGCATCTGGAACGGTTTCCGCGACGACACTTATCGGACTCCATATAACTGGCCTCGAACGGTACGACCCGGGCGTCCATATTGGGAACTCTGGCAAAGAACACTGTCCCGCGCGCTCTTGCCTTCACACGGTCAGCACCACCCTCTGCTCCAACCCCTGGGACATTGGCACGACAACTTTGAGTCTTGGAACTGGCTCTGGTCGCCGACTGTTGGTTTGTTTCATCGGGAGGGGGCTGCATGGACCCATCTCGCCCTTGTAGGTTCCTCTACAACTTCTCGGCGCTATGCTCCATCTGGCAGTCACAGTGGGACGGATAGCCTACAACGACCAAGTTCTTGGTGGACTTGCCCTTTGCCTTCTGACGTCCTGCGTGCCACAGTGAGGCCCCTCTCCGGTAGCGACTGGGTGCTCATCACTGGTACAGGTCTCCCAACCTTGCCTCCCTCTGACCCGACCCCCTCCATCCTCAACGCCTGGCAAACCTCTACCAACCTCTGCACAGACTACTATGGGTGGGTCCCTGATGAGATTGGGGTACATGGTGATGAGGCTGCCACGGGTCGTACAAAAATGACCTGGGAACTGCTGCTGTTCAGCTCCTTCCCAAAGGGGAACTGCTTGCATTGTCATCCGTTGTCAAACTCCAGGCCTACCTCAGGATTGGCCTTCTGGCTGGGATTATGGCGGTTGACTGGCTCCTCCAACAATGGTTCCCAGCCCTTAGCCAGCGGCCGGGTGTCAAGATCGCCTGCAACGGCCATTTGGCCATTGCAATGGCCTTTGAAGATCGACCCCTTTCACCCACTGATGCACAATTTGACCTGATCTCTTCCATCCGGGAAGCTATCTCTCGGTCTCCGGTGTCTTGGCCTCCACGGCATGTCTACGGACATCTGGACAAGTCCAACTTATTTGATGAACTCACTTGGTGGGAAAGAAAAACCTGGAGGTAGATGGCATGGCAGTGGATTTCCGCAAGGAACTAGAGGCCGCCCACCAACTTATCCCCCCCAATCCTTGGTTCTTCACGGAACTGGCAGCTCTTTTTGTAGCTGACACAAAGCAGTCTCGGCTGAGTGACCACTTCATTCAGGAGTGTGTGACACTCCCCCGACTGCGGCAACACTGGAGGAACCGTAATGTGATCTCTGAGGAGTTTGAAAACCTTATTGACTGGGAGACACTGGGTCGCGCTATGCGGTCACTACCTGCCGGACTCCAGCGCTGGATTACAAAACATTGGGTGGGCATGTGCGGCACAGGGAAGTTCAAAGTGTATTGGGGCCTTGAATCGTCCGCTGCATGCCCTCGGTGCGGTGAGTTTGGAAGCTATTGGGTGTCAGGGACTTTTGGAAGGCAGACTAGCCTCCTTGTGGCTGTCTCTGCAACAAAATTATGGCAGCTCTTTTCGTGGCTGACACAAAGCCGTCTCGGCTGAGTGACCACTTCATTCAGGAGTGCGTGACACTTTCCCGCCTGCGGCAACAATGGAGGAACAGTCCAAAAACCTTATTGACTGGGAGACACTGGGTCGCGCTATGCGGTCACTACCTGCCGGACTCCAGCGCTGGATTATAAAACATTGGGTGGGCATGTGTGGCACAGGGAAGTTCAAAGTGTATTGGGGCCTTGAATCATCCGCGTGCCCTCGGTGCGGCGAGTTTGAAGATCACTTGCATGTTCCACGTTGCCCAACAGCCTCGGATAGGGACGAATGGGATCAGAGGGTGACCCCTCTCTCGCTCTGGATGGATATACATCTTACCTCCCCCGCCATCAAACATGCGATACTCCTTCTGCTTCAGGGTGTTCGCGATCCATCATGCCCCACCTCTTGTTTGATCTCTCGGACCATTTGCCCGGCCTTTCTGGCACAGGAAGCTATTGGGTGTCAGGGACTTTTGGAAGGCAGACTAGCCTCCTTGTGGCTGTCTCTGCAACAAAATTATTTTGACGAGATTCACAGTCATCAGTCGGTTTCTCTGTGGGCCTCCCGTCTCTCCCAGCAACTCATCTCCATTGGGTTCTATATGTGGGAACAACGGAACGCCGTTCAACATTTGGATGGCAATGTTCAGCTCTGTGAATGTTACTGTGTTGTCAACGAGGGGATTCACTCTCAGTTTGATATGGGTTCAGCTGATTTACCTCCGGATATTAGACGCTGCTGACATGCCGTCACAGTGTCCTCCGTAAGTCACTGGTGGACAAGGAAGAATGGCTGAAGCTACTTCGACAGGAGCGCAAGGACTATCGTTGCTCTCTGCGGGCTCAACGCCATAGCCTCCGGACTATCTTCTCTCCCCCCCCCCCCCCCCCCCTTTTGAACGCTTCCCAACGTTCGTGGGACAATAAGCGCCCCAAATTCACCCCGCCTTGCTGCGGGAGAAGTCATTGTTAACGACATGACTTGAGCAACTTCTGTTCAGGTACAGATGCCTCAAATGGTTCAAACTTGTTGTTGACTCACCGCTCCACAGTACTTGACCTTTACAGCCAAATATTTCACCGGCAATCGAATGCCCATAGAGTAGCATCCTAACGATTAATGTCTCACTTATTATTATTATTTTGTTGTCTCGAATAGAAACATCATTTGTTCTCCACTGAACCTTGAGATAAAGCTCTCCTTCCCAAAATTTGTGTCCAATAATTGAATCAAACAAGCACATATTGTTGTCATCTCCAGCGATGTACTTTAGATATGTATCCACAGAATCAGGTGTCACCATTTCATCGGTTTCCTCTGAAGAGGCGACCAAATCGACAGATTGATCGTCATCATCTTGTTGGGTAACAGTTGCTGGCTCCCGATTAGGTACATCTGGGACAGGTGTTTCTGTTGCAGCTTGGACCTGTGGGATTGTGGTTCTTTGGGCGACTTCAGGGGGATCAACCTCAATAGGTTGCTGGCGGGGATCGGCATTCTCCTCTGTTTGGCTTGACGGAATCTGGAATCTGTCGGCCATTTGGAGGGGAATCGAAGAAGAAAGGCGTTTCTCAGCTGGTGGACCATACACAGCATGGATTGCATCTTCAAATTCGTCAATATCTTCAAGGTGTGATGGTTCCACCTTGCTGTCTTGAGGCAAACGATTGTGTGAGAGCTTTGATGGGTCTAGTTCAATCACATCATCAGGGTCCTCCGTGTATTGCAACGGTGTCTTCCCATCTAGTCAATCGATCTCCAACTTATCTTCATTGCGGATCACTAAAGGGGCATCTTCCTCAAATATTGCGGACGAATGACCGATCGAGTGTAGACTTGGTACATTTCACCATCTTTCTCGGGTTTGACAGCAATCACGTAAGTGAAAGCATCACCGGAATTTTTGCTGAGCCCGATGAATCTTGCAGGTAACATTTGTTGTCTTGGAAAAGGACGGCGTGAGGTGTAGAACCAAATCGGTTGCCAAAATGTGAAGCGTGCTTTACTGATATCCGGAATTCCACCGGTGACAGCTTCAATTGAGGTCCTGTTCTTCAATTTCTTTCATGCAGTACGCTGTCAAAGATACGCCAAATATTCCAAGGCATAACACCAAAATTCTAATGGTGCTTGTGTCACTGTCAACAAATGTTGGACAGCGTGCTTGAGCCTGCCACCACGTGCTTCAGCAAGATTCTGCTGCGGATGGTGTGGCTCCGTGTAGAGAGGCTCAACATAGGCTTCTCTCAAAGTTTTCTTGACTTATTGGACTTAAATTCCATGGCATTGTCGGATTTCAAGGTATGCAGAGCTCCAACACGTAGGAAATGGTCCTTGATTGTCGCCGGAGAATCAGATTTACACATCATCAAATGAACATCATTGTAGAGTGATTTCTCGGCAGCAAAGAGATTGAAGTACTTGTATCCGTTTTGTTCCTTCGTTGTAATCTCAACATTGGTAAACGGGACTTGAGATGATCTCGCATGATTTCACGGCTTTCGGCCTCCACACAAGGAATCATCTGGGTTGCTTTGACTGCTTTGTCTGGTGGGAACCCCAATCTACATTTCCAATCAATCTCCTCTGGCGAGAAGAGCCGAGTGATGACTCGTTCAGTAGGTTTGTAGGGGGTATCCTGCGAAAAGACAAGGCGTGGGAGTGACTTTAATTCATGATTTGCTTTAATTTGTAAAAACATTTTGCTCCATCGAAGAAGAATGGTACCTTGCTATCGCCAATACGGCAACATTTAGTACCAGGGTTACCATGGGTATCCAGAGCATCTTGGTTGCAATCGTCTACTGTGTTGCCGGCACATCGTACCTGGGCTGAAGCTAGTAGAGATTCCTTCTGCTCTTTATCTCGGTCCATTAGGTCCTCGTGGGCAATAGGGCACCATTCTTGACCATTCTCATCTATCAACTTAGCTGCAGCTGACACGACATTGAAAATTGCTCCTTGATGTCGGCCTGCCAGTGGTCCAAGTAAGTTCATATCGACTTGTATTCTTGATTACACGCCATACCACTCCAAAAAGAATTTGATCAGCTCCACTGTCAGCGATCAGGATATCTTCTTTGGGGTCTGGTGGCTTTTCGATTCGGCGCATTGTTCTCTTTTCATGACGTTGTCTTGTTGAATGTCAGGATTACTCAGCTCACAATCTGTTGGTGGCCGCATTTGCAGATATGCTGGGAGGCCATTTCTGATGTCCAGTGGCAAGACGAAGCCGTCTGGTGTTGTCAATGCTGTTGACCACCGGCTTTGGTAGACTTTTCATCCACTACAATCTTGAAATGCTCCATTTGTCCACTGGACAGAATGGATTGACCCTTTCCAATGTAGGCTTGTTGGTGCATAATGGCAATGGCAGGTCCACGTTGGGTGTGGATGAGTCCAGCTGACGTGATGATAGGGATATTAGTCACTTGGTGGTTGTCAATGCCTTGTATGTCAAAAGGTACAATTGGTTTTGTGGATGATGCATGCATCATCTCCAATGCCGCCATTGGCACCTCTATCAATTAGAGCTAGGTGTTTACGAGTGTTGACTTTCTGAATGGAATAGATAATGGTGTGGTTATTAACCGATCTATATTTTACTCCATTAAGCATGAACTCATCTTGCTTGACTTCTTGTTGAGGTGTAGGCGGTAAATGTTTGGTAGCCGGTGCCACAGCCAACTTATCAGACATCACACGTTGTAGCTCCCCAGGCTTCGTAGTGTGTTGTGTGGCTAGTAGCTTATCGGGCGGTCCATCTTCTGGTTCCTGGGCAGGAGTGAGAGTACTAGTCTCATTGCTCCCCATGATCCCATCCTGCGCATGGGCCAAGAAGTCGGCTTCAGACATGTCATGCAGATTGAGGGCATTGAGTTCGTACCGCTCCGAGTAGTTGGCATGTCTGGTTTGTTGTTGGGGTGGAAAGTAGGGGAAGAGTCAGTCCTCTCATGAAAACGAAGACTCTAGGGACATTGAAGACGTAGCGCGCCAGCCCTCCAGCTCAAAGTTTCTCCGAAACCGTAGTGCCCGGGAGAAAACAAGTAAACATGAAATTATACGTGGTAATTACTATCTTAAAAATTATAGGGTCACTCTCGATTTTGACTCATCTCCCAGGCGTTGAAATCTGGATTTGCATGAAAGAAAAAATTATGCGTCGTGTCATGATTTTTTCTGATTTCAACACAGCTGTAATACAAGGAGCCCCTAGCCATGCTGTACATGAATGCCTGAGTTATGAACATACCTATAATGCAGTTGGTGCAGAATTTAGCTGGGACAACTGCTGAATCTGGATTCAGCAGTAAAATCATCATTTTTATCATGACCAAGAACGGGATAATTGTAGACCGTGGATATCTTATTAGTGGGTGTAGAGGGTTGCAAGTGATGTCTCCAAAGGGCATCCGCCTCCTTCAAAGTTATCGCATTATCTTGTTTGTCTGCAACCAGATCCCCACCACCAATCTGCTGCTGGCGACAAGTCTCTTCCAACGATTTCTGCGATTCGTATCCTTCTCTCTTCCGAAGAAGGCCTTCAAAAATGTAGCCTGCATTTTTCATGAATGGCAACCACTCTGTACAAAGATCATTGTTTGCTCCAAAATAAGTTTTCACATTTTCCAGATAGACTTCTGTTGTGAAATGAGGCACTTGATATTTATCCTTCCATAGTTCTGGCGGAACAGAAGAAATGGCTGTGAAGTCAAACCCCTGCATGTCTGTTTTGATGAAATGTATTTGCCTATCTGCTAGTGTTTGCATGATTGTCTTTACAGATAACAATGGTACAATTTTCGGACCTTTGGCTCTTTTCCCGCGGTTCCATTTTGCGCTCATAACTGGTTTACTCAACGAACTACTCACACCATCAGTGTTGTAAACATGCATCACCGCCAAACCATCATGATCAGCGACAGCAGAGGGCACGACGTGGACAGCAGGGTGGCTTGGGATTAATTCATGTACAATGGGCTCGAATGCAATAGTGACTGCACATGCAACGCCAGTTTCGGTTCTTGGGACTATGGGGTCCAAATTTGAACCAATGTTCAGAATAATTTTTGTTCTGTTTGATAGACCCAAATTGAAGAGCCGTGAGGAGTCACCTGGGAACGAGTCAGAAGCGTGTGCACCGCTCTGGAGAGTATTCAACGATTGCCTTCCACTGCGAAACGATGCAATCAAGAGAACAACCAATAAAAGTACAATCGTTCCAGAGGGGCTTTGGTTTCGCTTATGATGCTGAACACATCCCATTTGGTTCATCGTCTCCGGGACATGCCGAAAAAATCTGTATCTGGGTTTTTTGGTCAGAAGGAGAAAAGCGAGCCACTGCAATTTTCATAAATAAGGACAAGGGGACAGACGGGTGTCACCGCTCTCTCAAGCGGGTTGCGTGCCAACACAAATGTATCAAAAAATAACGGTCATCGTCGTCTGCACGCGGAATGAAAAAGCTCGAATCAAATTTGCACACGATT